TTTTAACTGCTGATAAAAGTGACAGAGGACACAAATATGGGAGGTGTGGAAGCCTCTACTGTATCAAATTGACATAGTTATAACAGAGAGTTGGCCATTCTAAGGTAAAAACCCAGCGCATACAGTGTTCATGTTTTTTTTTTTTTTTCATCCAGACGGCTTCCCGCGCCCCCCCTAGGGGGCGCGCCCCACAGTTTGGGAACCTCTGATCTAAGCAATATTTTGCTATCGCTGTACTGCAGATATTGATTCTGCCATTATTTGCAAATTATTTTTCTTTCTTAAATGAACCACTACTTGAATGTTCACTGGTCAGCAAAACAAACAAACAAACAAAAAAAACAATAATAATGATGATTAAAAAAAAAACAAGAAACAAGCCAGAATTTTTTTAAAGACTTTCAGAAATCCTGTTCAACTCTAGCTTAAGATCACTGCAGGAAAATATCAAATTCAAAAGAAGAAAAAATATTGTGTCTGGAATATTTACACAAAGGTACTATTTTTTTTTTTTTTGTCCTTTTGTTACATCTACATTAAGGTCTGGAGCGCGTGAAAGAAATGTGTCGGATTCTCCGGCTCAACAGTGAAATAGAGGATCTGGCATTGACGTATTTCAGGCAGGCCTACCAGCAGGAGAGCTTCATCAACGTGACCCTCCAGAGGAAGGAGGTGCTTGCTGGCTGCTGCGTGTACGTGAGCTGCAGACAGCGGGACTGGCCGATCACTTTGGGAACCATCAGCAGCCTCCTGGACGCCGACCCGACGCTGGTGGGAGGCGTTTACCAGGAAATGATCAAGATCCTGAACATCCAGGCTCCTTTTGTCAGTATCACAGATGTCATAGAAGCGCATGTTCAGGAGTAAGTGTGTGTGGAAGCTCCTTTTATGTTTGGTTATTTGAAATAATTGTACAGGAGTCACTGCAAGAGCTCTATGAATGAGCATGCATAAAACTTTCAATGAGACGGTCGAGTGGATCATCAGCAAATCGGGGTCCTAAGTGTGGTGTGGGGGAGGAGGATGGCTTCATACTCGTGTGCTCTGACCTATCGACCATCGTCATGCAAAGAAATGACACACCTGGTGTCCTTTCTATGTTGTTTTCCTGCATCTCAACCATTAACTGCTGTATAAAGACATTAGCAGCAACATACAATGAGCTTTTCCATCTTTTTGATGTGCATTTACGTTTCCATATGTTTTTTTTTTTTTTTTTTAGTACGTTGGACGGTCCTTAACCATTGTGCATAAGGACTAGTAAACTTCACTTCTGCTTCAAAGTAGCAGCAGCAGAAATGAGCAAACACTTGGTGCTGAGCTTATTTTATGAACTATTTCTCAGTCCAACGCTCCGGCGAACGTTTGGAAACGCTTAATAGAGGACAGTTGATGCGATGACATGCTGAAAGCAATGTGTTGGAAAGAGCAGGAACTTCTAAACGAGACAGAGGCCCAATTTCAAGGCGTTAAATTTCGAAGTCAAATTTCTTTTGAGCCATGTTTGATATATGCAGCATTTTTATAACAACTGAAGGTGACAACGTTACTTTATTGTGCTACAAAATGATACCATGTGTTTGGAAAAACACAGAATACTGCACCTTTAGATACAATTCACAAAACTTTTCAATCAAATCAGATTAAATGTATATTTTTTGTTTTTGACAGATACAAAATAAGTGCACAACACGTTACTAAAGAGCTGGCGGAGGACTCCAAGGTGTTGACCAAACGAGCCGTGGCATTGGTGGAGTTGGCAGGAGATTCCTGGATCGTGACCGGACGACGGCCCCTACCCATCATGATGGCGGCAACGTATTTGGCCTGGCAGTCTTTGAACCCCAACAGACATCGCCTCAAGCTCTCCCTCGACAAATTCTGTCACCTGGCCAACGTGCAAAAGCGCAAACCAGCTGTAATGAGAATAACAGAGCTGAAGGAAGTGCTATGTAAGCTCGGACGGGAACTTCCCTGGGTCAGGGAAACGGTGACTCAGGACAACGTTGTTCGGCTGGTGGGGGATATTCTAGACCACCGGCACACACTGCTTACTCGGGCTCTGAGAACCCATGAGACTGCGATGCAAGCCGATTGCCCTCAGGCCAGCGCTTTGAACTCTCCAACAGAGGAGGTGACGCCGTCCCAAAGGTCTGAGAGCAGGGATCAGACTGCAGACGCTTCCTCTGCGCTGCAACTCTGTCCCACTGACAGGACGGAAAACCAAGAGGGAGACGACTCTCACCAGACTGAAGACCCAGAACCAAACTGGGGTGTAAGGGTCCTGTTTGCTCCTCCCTGTGTGGTTCATGCCAAGAGGAGGAGAGTGGAGCCGCCGCATGTGCAGAACATTACCGGCGACGAGGAAATCTCCGACAGCGAGATCGATTCGTACATCCGCACTCCACAAGAAGCTCGAGCCTTTGCCCTGATGCAGAAGGCGGTGTCCTCCTCTGGCAGTGGGAACTCCTAGCTAACTTACACTTGTTTAATTAAGAGTTAACCTTTTGTTTGTTTGTTTGTTTTTTTGAAGGATGTGTAATTGTTAAAAGATTTTAGAAAAACAGTTTTTGCATTTCTGATTCATTACTATTGAACATGCCGTTTTCCTGCTTGTTGCAGAGTCTGAGATAGTTTTTTTTTTTGACTATTTTATTTAAAATTTATGTTGCTTAACATTATTTTATTGTTGCAACAATGAAGCAATTTATTGCACAAATTAATAGTTGAAAATAAACTTTCACGTATATGTGAGCCTTAATTTATACTTTTTACTATCCGGGTGACCTTTGATTTGTCTGCACAAGAATTTTACTCCATAAAATGTATATTTCCTACAATTATTATGCAACACAGTAAGAATTTTAACTTAAGCAAGCTTTTCCTCAAGAATTTATAAGAATTGCAAATTTAAAATGATTGATACCGTATTGCACACTGATTAGAGGGCATATTTACAGTGTTTGAGGCTGTGACTGTAGTTAATATTGCAGTATAATGTATGTAAAATAACATTTAGCTGCAAATACACAAAAATCAAGTCAAACAACACAGTTGAAATCTTCTCATAAATTCCATACGTCCCTCATCAGGACCTTCCTGGAAACTGAAATATGAATCAGAATAATTATTTAGCGATACACAGAAATGTCAGGAGAAGGAAGAAGGAGGACGTATTCTTTTTGTGTTCGCTAAATTTAAATTCACAGCAACCACAACAAAAATTGACAGGTCTGACAGAGTGCCGTTTCCTCCATCTGAATTCATTTGTCTTTCTGCACCGTTTCATAACTCTGCTGAGAGAACCAAACCATTCAGCTGATTCAGTCTAAATTAAGCAGGGTTGCGATTTGAATACCATCAGTCACAGTTTTCCTCAGTTTGAAGCGAGTTCCAACTCTGCGCTTCGTAAAATAACAGAGCTGGGTTTGAAGCAGCAGAGCCTTGGAGTCCGAGGATTCTGGCATTGTGGACGTTCTGCGGTTCCTGACTCTAAAGAAACCTGATCTTGCATGTTGGACGAGAAGAAAAAACAAGATGAGCCCCAAACATAAGCTCTGGTTCTATAATAATTTGCTTGCAATTTGCTTTCAGAATCATGTTTTGGAAAGTTATTTTTGAACTCTCATACAAAAACCAGGTTTTTTCAGAGAATCTAAAGCTTCTTTCTTTTATTTATTGGCTGTAATCTTAAGATGCCTTCAGGGTGACCCACAAAAATCTGATTTTACAAGCACACAGTTCTTTAGTGCATTTGGGAGTAATTATTTCATTTTCTCTTCATCTGCCACAGGATATTAAACATTTCTTTAGAAACTCCTATTGCTCAAAGCCAAACTGAGGCATATAAAACCACGGAGGATTGAGTTAATAATCAGCACATTAATTCCTGACAACCTCGTGTAATAATGAAGTCCAAAGCAATGAGGGAAAGCTGGACTATATCAGCCTGAATGGGGACATTTCAAGGTGAAGGATGAGTGTTCAAGAATAGTGGAGGAAAAGCGGCGTTACAGAGTTCATTGTTTGCTGTTTTACTACAGATTATTATACAAAGATCATCTTTAAATTTCTTTGAATTCAGAAGTCTGCGTACATTTCTTTAAAATTTAGTGGAAATGCTTTTCTTTTACTTCGCATTCTGGGTCAAACATTTCTGGTGTCCTCCATCTCAACCTTTTCAACTCTGACCACAGATTTTCTATCAGACTTTGTGATGGCCACTCCAAAATATTGACTTTATTGTCCGTAAGCAACTCTGTAACTTTTTGGATGACCACTATAACTAACAAATAATCAGTTTCCATTTGGGAAACCCATTGGAGCTCGAGTTTGAACTTCTTTCCTAATGTTTGATGAGTTGCTTCAGTATTTCCAGATATTGTTCTTTCATCATGGTCAGTTTTAAATTTGACAGCACATTTTAATTTAATTAGTCATTTTTCAAATACATTTTCAGTAACTATAATCATCAAAAATATTAAATCATACAGAAAGGCCTGTTCATTTCCTCCTGCAACTTAAAATGAAAATTATTTCTTCACACCCAGGAAATATTTTCACTAGAATTGAATGTTAGTAGTTACAAATAACAAGTCTCACCTTTTCCTGCGACTGAAATGAATTCTGAATGGTTTTCGGGTTTAATAGGTTCAATTTTGAAGTTTAGTTTAAGTCTGTTTTTTTTATATGTGACAATGGGTTGGTGCTGAAATATTTTGGTCGCAATTTAATTTCAATAACTTCATCTTGAAGCTTGGATAATATGAGTTACAACAACATTTCATCTCCCTTTAGGAATAATAAAGCTCTTTCGAATTGAATTGAATCTATGTTGTGAAGTCCGCCAGCATTTAAATCTCATTCTTCCTCCAAATGTAACAAAGACCCTTATGGTCAAACACTTACATTTCAGCTTCATCAGATCTCTGAACATGTCTCTGAAAATTAACAAGTTATTTCCTGGAGAGTTTAAAATAGAAAATTATTATTTTTGACTGAATGTCAGACAGAGATTTTTTTTTTTGCAGTTTCTATAAAAATTCAGTTCCATCTGCAAATGTTTTATAACTTCTACCTATAAAAGCAGCCGAAAGAAAACATCATGCTTCTTTTTAGTGCATCATTGCACCAAGTAGACAAACTTCCTACATTTTACTGAAAGTTGATGATAAAATCACAAGAGAACTGAAGTGCTAATAAAGCTTTCATAATGGTGGTGTTTAAAGAGATAAGATTTGAGCTCAGAGACACTGAAAAAAGAACACCATCATAGGTAAGTGGGGGTTTTTTCTCTCTCAGGGGAAAGAGAGAGAAATTAGTTTTTCATCAGGTCTAATCCTGTATAATCTACTGGCAACAGACTGGCACAAACCCTCAACCAACTTTATCAAAGACAGAAATATTTCCACACACGTTCTAAGAAGAATTCCTAATTGTTCCAGAAAAAAACATATTAATTTAAAAGTGTAACACTAATTGGTAGTAGAAGAGGTTTATAACAATAGGAAATACTACACCATCTAGATTTAGAATTATAACAGTAATGTGGAGAAACACATCGTCTTTGTTTATGATGCATGAAGCTTTATGAATTACAATTAGTGCTAACAGTCTGAGTTGACCTGAAGAGAAATCGAGCTCACAGTGACACGACAAAGATGTTTATAAATTATTTTCGAAAACAAGCTTACGGATCTGAGGCAAACAGACTTTAGTCCGAGTCTGAAAAGCAAAAATAAGTAATGATTGTTAGCAACAGTGTCCTCAGAATCTCACATCTTGATGCATATTGACATGTCATCTGAAAAATGTCATTATAATATAAAATTATGGCTAAATTCCATTTACGTCCTCCTCACTAATGGATGTGTCATATTATAACAGGGCTTGGAGGGACACCAGATTGCAGCAACACTTTTATTAATGTTTCTCAGACACCAGGGCTTAATCCATGTTAGGATATCCAAATGAGATCTAGAAGAAGTTAATAAAGAGTGTTATTTTATGATTTTGTTTATCTGGAAGATAGCCACTGTGTCCTTCATGAATTTAGTCATTGTAAGATTTAAAGTTTGATGTTGTTCTTCGTGGGAGTACACTAAAAGAAACAAACATCATTTTTGCAGGTAAATCTTGCAAAGATCTTTTTTTTTTTCTTTTCCCTGCAGGCTTTGTTTCATTTTATCAAACAGAATAGCAAATGGTATTTTTTTTATTTCACAGAGAGCATTGGGGTTACTGCTTCAGACTGAACCTCATCCATCTGCAGGAAGCCCGTTAGCAAGCCCCAGATAACGCTGACAAGATTTACGGGATCAATAAATTATCACATTTCCCTGTTCTGAGCAGGTCTAATTCACATGCAAGCATTTTAGCCTTCTCTGCATCCAATTAGCAAATTTAGCCATGCATCTGCAAATTGACCCGTTACTCCAATTGATTTTCCACTTTCACCACAGTCCACTCACACCAATCTGAAGCCAGGGTTGTTTCAGATTTTTTTTTTTTTTTTTAGATTTTAAGCATTTTAATTTAGACTTTCATTCCATTTATTTACATGTATTTAACATGCAAAACATCAGCAAACACATTGTTTGATCAAACAGAATGAATGAGTAACAAATAATAAGAAGAAAGAAAAGTACATTTACAGACAATGAAACATTAGTATTGAGAAGAACATCAATATTTTCTCAGTGAATACTTTTAAAATGAATCTGATTTGAAATAGCAGCTGTAGGTGACCACCAACCACACATGTAGCAAAATAGAAATAAATTAGACCATCAATGGAATGTAAGAAAGTGAAATATCACAGAAAATAAGACCTGAAAACCCTTATTGAAAACTATTTGACATACAAAAAAACAAAGTTAAAAATACCAGCTTTAGGACGCCTCCTGTTTGAAGAAACTGGTCTCATCCATTACGCAGCAAGGATGATAGTAACAATGTTTCTCTGCATAAACCTTTTTTAAATCTTGAAGCTTCTGGGAGATTTTCAATTACCATAATTTCTGGACTAATAAACGCACCAGAATATAATCCGCACCCACAAAAAAAGGGTTCAGCTGTAGGCCATATTTTTCTTTAAGCCGCAAGAGTAGAAAGATTTGCACACAAATATGTACTGTAAATGCTTTTTTTCCATACATTGCTTGTAAAAAAAAATAAAAAAATAATAATTCAATAGCCGACGAGGAAAAGTAATTGATCGCGAAGAGCCTTATCAGCTTTTAAGCAAGGAGTTTTAAAAAGCTGGACTGCCACAAGTGAATTTGTCTTGAGACGAAAGTGATGCTGAGACCAGCAACTAAGAGAAACGGAGGAAGTGAGTGTGAGTTTTTAACTCTTAAGAAAAAAATTTGCGGCTTATAGTACGGAAATTATGGTAGATTTATATTGCGGAACTGGCTTGGCCCATTATATCAGCTTTAATTTATTTATCTAAACCAAATTGAGTGTGGTTTGCTGTATTGTCTTACTTAAAACCAATTCAATCCCTTATTAACAAAGAAAACAAAAATCAATGCATGCAACAGTCATTTTCCTCCATGTATCTATAAATAATCATCACTGAGACAGATAAGCTCATACAGAAGCATGTCAATAACATGACATAGTAGCTCTGCAAGAAACATAATAGTAAAAGTGGGTAGTTAGGCCAGTTTGACAGCTAATAGCCTCTGCTACAGATAAATATGACATTCATACCAACTTCAAAATCATGAGGAACAGAGCAAACGCAGCACAACACAATACTGATCATCAGATTGTTTTATATACAAGCAATTTCAAATGATCACAAATAAGACGATGACTTCGATGTAGATGTGCATTCGTCTGCTGCTGGCATAAAGACGATGAAAGCCTCAGGGCACAGCCTCATAAGTTTAACCTCACACTGCTTCAAGAAGGAAGCGAAGATCCAATCTGACGCGAGAGCCTCACTAGAACCAAACAAATAAAAATGGTCACATGTAGTGACCGTTTCTAAAAAGTGAATTGAAATAATAGTTTAATTTTCCCTTCATTTCCTTTCCACGTAAACCTTTTTTTTCCTCAATTTCAATCTTGTCTCGGTCGTGATCCTCTCGTTTAACGGTGACATTCAGCGTCTCACGTTTTTCCAGGTAGTCCCTTCCTGCAAACAATACGTTTGCAAATACTGAGCTTTCTGCCTGCATTTGCAATTTATGCATAAGATATTGAAGGACTGTGAGCTTGAAGAGCATCATCTTTAATAAACAAAACTATAAATCAGAATCCATTTAGTCATTACAATTCCTCTGTAAACTCTTGACATTGTACAAAACATTCAAGATTTCTTCAATTTTGCACATAAATTATTCGTATTAGGTTTGAGGACGTGATTTTATCACATCAAGGTTGTTACATAAACGAGACACTGAAACACTTGAAAGCTAAATGGAGACTTTGCAACTATCAGATGGTTGAATAATAGACTAAAAACAATAAATATCTTTATTTTTGATCTCATATGCCTATTTATTCAATACTTTACAACAAAAAGGGGTTTTGAATTGAAAATGTTGCTTATTTTCTCAGTATATAGTTTTCAATTAAAATGCGATTCATTCATTAGAGACCCTGAAATTAACTCAATAAAACATTTTAATTGAGTTCCACCACAACCATAGTACACCTGAATTTAAAACACAGTTTGTTTCATCAACAAGTGAATCCTTCTTACTGTTTTATATGAACAATAAAAATGATTGCTTTCAAGTAAATAACTTAAGTTTCATCAAATATATACAAATCTTGAAGATTAGTGACACGATCACATCTTTTCCACTGTTTTTAAGGTCTTTTTTTAATGCTTTACTGACAGTTTTTAGAGGCAGTTTTCTGAAGCATGTCAGATGGATGGAACAGCAGTGAATTGCTTGATTTTGTTTTGTGCATAGGAGATTATTTACTGCTTGACAATGGCTGAGTTGCACCTATACTTCATGTTGATGGATAGCGTTGGTCAAGTTCCCATCTGCACAAAATACAAATAAGCAGGTTACAAAACCACTCCAGCTGCGCAGTGGCTGGCGGGGACTCCGATGCGACGGTTGCACTTCATCATCTTCCTCAGCTCCGTGCGGAAGCGATCGTGAAGCCACGCGTAGAGGAAGGGGTTGCAGCAGGAGGAGCTCATGGCGCAGAGGTGGCACAGCAGCTGGATGAGTAGGAAGTATCGCTTGTTTATCAGGTGGATGTCGATGTCTCTCAGAACGTTGAACACGTGGATGGGAAGCCAGCAAACGGCAAAGGCAGACACCAGCAGAGCGACGAGGCGGAAGATCTTCCTCTTTCGGGCCTGGTGAACGCACACCTGGTCTTGCGACCTGTTTCCGGGGACGATGCACTTTTTCAGCTTGACGGTGATGCAGAGGTAGGAGACAAAGACGGCCGAAAGGGGGAGGACGTATGTGATCAGCAGCGTGCTGTAGGCGTAGGCCCGTCTTTCCTTCTCCTGGCCCAACCAGAACTCCTCGCAGATGGTGAAGCCTTCTTCTTTGAACTCGACATGGTAGGTGTGAGTCACCGCCGGAGCCACCAGGCCGCAGGACAGCAGCCAGATCCCGATGAGGACGTAGGCACAAGTGGCCACAGTGGTTCGCTTCTTCAGCGGGTGAACCGTGGCGTAATATCTGCAACGGAGGGAGAGAGTGGTGCTTTATAAACCTTAACAGAATTAATGGATGGCTCATCAAGACCAGATTGATGAGTTAATGCCACTGTGACGTCTCCGGATGTATGATTAAACTGAAAGTTCAAGTACCAGCGATAAGATAGTGGAGAAATCCTAAATGGCTTAATTAGGCCTAAAGCTGTTTCTGTGCATCTAATGAGGAATGCTGACGTGCTTTTCAATCAGACAGCTAGCTTTGTGCTGAGCTGTCTGTGACCTGTAAGGTCGAAGTGGCAAAGACAGGCAAAGAATGCATTTTAGCGCCGAGCTCAGGTGTGTCAAAGAACAAAAAGTGATCCAATCTAAAGATAAAGGAAGGCTTGATATTTAGAAAACCAAATAAAAAGTATGTATTTGAAGCTCACACTTGCTTATTAAGTTTTTTTTTTGCATGTTCAATTAAGAATAATGACATTTTCAAGAATTTTACTAATCTAGCAATATATATTTCACACCATGTTGGCTCTTATGAAAAGCTCACTGATTAGGAAATGTCACTTATTTGAGCAACTGCTTGCCAAATAAAGGCCTTATCATTGATCAAGGAGAGCAGATTAATTATTTTGTACATGCAAATCAATACCTCCCTTCATTTGCCTAATTTTCAAAGAATACAACATGATTGCATTCATTGGCTTGTGAATTCCTAGGTTAAAATTGTAATCCACTCTTATTTAGAAAAGTGTATTTTATTTTTGTTTGTGCCAAATTTTGCTTAGTGATTTATACCTTGTAAAACCAATACACCACACATCTCTATGTACTTTCCTGGGCTTTATTGAGCTGTAGATCATCTAAAAATATAAATAAGAAAATTAAACAGAATCTGTCAACCAGATGACTATTGGTTTTTACACTCTAAATCTGAAAGCTTGGCAAGGAAAAAACAATGCTGAAATGCTAACAAATACTGGAGCATATGGATAGATATTGACATAAATCCTGTCAGAAGCTGAAAAAAAAGTTTCTACACACAACTTCCCTGAATGTGTTGGGTTATGGAGACAAACAGGAATGCAGGTTCCTCAGTTCTCCGTTGCCTGGATACAATATTTCACAGCGCTTTACAAACGCTGCCTTCAAGATGCACCACTGTGAACTTCATACTTTGTTCCTATGGCCTTCAGTAAAACAAAGTAGTCAACAACACTGACTTATATTTTTTTTATAAAGTTGCCTTGGGCAAACCTACTCCCATGTTTCCAGTCATAAGTGGAAATAATACCCATCCATCACACCAACTCTTCCTCAGGGTCTCCAAACTTTGCTCAGAAGTTGGTAAAAAAAAAAAAAAAGAAAGCTTTTTTCTTATACTGCACCTAATTAGCAATATACATTACAACTTCAAATTCAAACTGTTTTGATTTGAATGCTCTACACTGGTGAGCCTCTTGGTTTGGTTTGTCTCAGAAAAGAGTTGTTATGCCAAAGAACTTCCTGGTAAAAAAGTTAAAAACAGTAAAAACATCATAATCATCCACTGCTTTATATGACAAAATTCCTTATTGGATACACTGAAGTTTGTGGTTGTAGCATGAAAAACTGTTGAAATGTTTCAAGTGGCAATAATACTTTTGTAAGACATGCATATTTAAAACAAGAGAGCACAACACTGCAAATAAATCTAAGTAATATAAGAAAAAATTGAACACTTCTGTGGCCACGGTGGTGGCCACAAAGTTGTGACTGCCTGCAGGCATTTCCACCCACCTGTCCACAGCGATGGCTGTGAGCGTGAAGACGGAGACGTACACAGTGACGGGTTGGATGAGAAAGACCAAGTAGCACATGGAGCGGCCGAAGACCCAACCGTGTGGATTGAAGGCGTAGGCGAGAGTGAAGGGGACGCACGTCACACACATGAGCATGTCCGAGAAGGCCAGGTTCCCGATGAAGAAGTTGGTGACGTTGTGCATCTTGCGAGTTCGGCAGATGACGTAGAGAAGCAGGTAGTTCCCGACGACGCCCACGACAACCACGAGCACATAACAAGGGATGATGAGAGGCTTGAACGTCTGCAGCAGGGCCACGTCTGCAAACTGGGAGCTGCGGTTGGTGGAGTTGCTCTGCACTGCTACCTCATAAATGCGCCCTTCAGGTTGCTCTGCAGATGAGGAAGGCGGCGTGCTTCCTATTGGACTACTGCGGTTAGCCTCCATGTGTGCACTGCAACAAAATCGAGGCAGGTTCATAGTCAAACATCACCAACACCTCTAAAAGGTCAGACTATCAGGTACTAGAAAAATATAAACAGGGAGGGGAAAAAGTTCATGACATTTAATAAATGGAAGACTCTTGGTAGAAAAAGCATGCTTTTACAAGCAGCAACACATTCACTCGTTCAGAGGTAAAGAGGAAGGTATAATGAGGCAGATGGCTGTGAAGGAATCTCATTATAAATGCAGAGAGCGACTACTTCCATCCACCAATGAAATGTGTTTTAGAAACACCATATGACACATTAGGTCCTAATTTACATGCCAAGAGCAGGAGAAAAAATGTCATTATTAATCAACTTGCTCTGTTTGGCCTGTTTAGCATACGCACAATAACTAAGCATGGCTGTGATGCATCGTTTTTAAGTTTTCCTTTTAGGTGAACTCGTTCAAACATGACTTCCCCCTGCTGCCCATCATCATCTCAGCTGACCAAGAATAAATTAACAGAAAATTCAATTAGGACACATGTATTAAAATATTTAAACACCAATACATCTTTAAAATATCATTTCGAGCCTTAGGCATTATTCCTTTGAAGCCTGACAGAAATAATGAAATTCGATCAATTTCTGCTCCCCAGCTGTGAGGCAGAACTGAACACATGCATCCCAGTGCCACCAGAAGTGTTTTTCAGAAATTTAAAAACAAAAAACTCCCCATATCAGGCTTGGAGATCCTCCAGGCAAGTTGTAATAGAGCTGTATCAGTTTACCTTCATCACATCGTCATTATCATTTTAATTAATGAGCTCTGGAAATCTTCCGCCGACAAACCGCAGGAAGTTCGGGGTTGCGCCCTCATCTTGTGGCGACTGTCACACGAGGCTGTGCATGAATGCATTCAAATGACTTCACCACTGGCTTTAACCTTTTGAAAAACGTTTGACATAATGAAGGTCTTTGATGACCCTGAACCGAATGGAGCTCTCCCTGCTGATAATAAATATTCAATTCAGGCCGGTAACTGGCAGCTGAAAGAAATTTTTATTCCAAACTTTAGCAACTTTATGCAGACGGAGTCGCAGCATTTTCCCTCAAAGACAAGAGCTTCGTACACCAGGCAAATTAAGATGTAAAGTTAACTTTTGCCAAAATGTTTCTTCTGACAGGAAGCGGTATTATTTTAGCCTGTCAAATGTTGAATTTGAATCTGATAGTCTAAAAGAGCAGATTAAAGATTAGGATGATGGCAAAGAGGCCTTCCAACCTCAAAGCTAATTGCTAAGTCAAAATGTCCTAAAATCACATGAAAAAAACTTGTCAGTAATTATGAGAAGATTTTGAATGTTAAAGCAACAATTATTTTTCTTTTCTTAATAAAATTATGTTTTCAACATCTCTACTTTTACATTGTTTTATTGTATTATCTGAGATTCCTGTCTCATTTCCTATCAGAAGGACACTCAGTTGAATCAAAATCATCCTAATGCTACAAATGACATGAGTGTTAATACTTTTGGGTTAATTGTGGCTCAAACAGACTTTTCAGCAAAAAACAAAATGTTGCACTAAAAGGAATATAAAAAAAATAGCATAGTTGAAACAGAAATGTCATTCATTCATGTGAGGCTAACGTCAACGTTACAGCACAGCTTGCTGCTGCAAGGAAGTTAGAACAGTAGCAGTTTAAGTCTATGAGCATTTGTCTTGAAAGTAAGATAGGAGCTCCCCTGTAAGCAGGGGTAGTGTTGGAAGCGTCCCATAAACAAAAGGCAGAATAAATACAGTAAATAAATCTCATATGCAATTTCAGTTTTGCGGGTCTCTGAGCGTGCCAAGCCCTGGCAGCTTTCAAAACTGAAACTGAAATGTGCTTTACTCACAGGAGCCACCAGAATTATATCTTTAAATAAATCTTAAAACCACTTGAACAAATACTGGCTGATGCAATTTCTGAGATTTAGCTCTTTATACCTGACAAAGCAAACTCTGGAGTTACTTTGTCAAAGTCGGGAAGTCATCTCTAAGTTCGACCTCGCTGGACCTCTAAATTAAAAGAGAGCACTCTTCTTCTGAGGAATATATGATCTAAGGATGACAAGCAGTTGTGCATTGTTGACAGGAACTGGCCTTTGTGCCTGAGCACAGCAATGTGGGAGCTTTCAGAGTTCAGGAGCTACAGGCATTCATCCTTTGGTAACTTCTAGAAGAGAGGACGCTGCTCCTTCAGCTCAAAAGATCAGAGAAATCAGAGCTTGAGGGGGTTTAATGAGAAGGGATTCTGATCTGTGAGAAGCAGAAATTGATCTATCTGAGAAAAAGGCTTTTCTGCTTTTATGCACTATTGGGAGTAAATAGAAAAGTATAAAATGGCATTTTCAGTTTTATTGGTATTGTTTTTTTTTTTCAAATGAACAAATTAAAAAATAAAAGAATGATCTTTTTTTTTGCCAGATTGCTCATCAGTCTGCATACTACAGTTTTTCTCCACTGAATTATTATCACCTGCAGCCCTGATAGTGAGACTTTATGGTCCTGCTGTCTTTTCACATTTGTCCTCTGCTAATTAGCATCATTTGTGCTGTGGTGCAGACTGGGGAATTAATCTTTGCAACAGTTGAAGCAAAGACCTCTTACTTTTCACAGCCAGTTATTCTCTCAATGAATGTATTGAACAGGGATTTCAATTACAATGTGATGTGAGGTTTTGTCTTTTGCTTTGAGTGCTGTTGTCGATTTTAACGGTGTCTGTGTTACTCTGAGATCTGTTTTTGCTCCAAAATGTCATGCAATAAAAATACTGTCCAAAACCTGAATTTAAACTAGATTTAAATAGATGCTTGTCTATTTAAATGTGTTTAAATAGACAAGCATCCCAAGCAATCTACGAATACAAATAAATAAGAAAAACTGATCTATTAAATTATATAAATGAGTGGAATGTCACCAGGAACAAGTACTCAGCAAGATAGAGACTGCAAAAATCCAAGTGACCAATTCCAGTATCTCAGTAAAATGACATTAGCTGGTTTGTTGTTGCTAGGTATTACTAGTTTCAGATACTTTTATCTGAATGTTCCAGTGAGCCCATTTGGAGACTTTATCCAGGAAGGGAAATAGAATAATTTCACCATAAACTAGCCAGGACCAAATGTTCCTCACACAATTTGTAACCAAGGACTCAGAATAATAAGCAGAATAATTTTACAGGGATCTCGTGGAGAAAGCTCAAGAAATACCTGGAAATACCAGGTACCTTTATTTTAATGAATACAATAAGTTAGGCGCTCACTACATAAGTCTCCACTGGCGAAGAAAAAGAATGTTAAGGCTAATTTAAAGTATGCCGATTGTTTTGTGTTATTTCCTATTTTTTTATCACTTGTTCCCTATCGGACATATTTCCTGTTTTCTCAGTTTATCTTCAGTCTCTTCCCATCCCTCACCGCTGCACGCCAATTAACCACCTGCTTTTTGTTCAGTAATCAAACTCTCCCAACGTATCTCTCAAGTGGGAAGCTCTTGGTCAACATATCCTGTTACTCACCCCAGCCAGTTCCAATCCTTCATAGCTTTTAAGTAAAGTAAGTAAGTGACAACGATCTCTGAAATGGTGTTTCAAAAAAAGGTCAAAGAAAAGTTGTTGTCAGCTGTTGCCGTCCTCTGGATTTTAAAAACTGTTTGTCAGTGTATGTTTCTTGGTACTGTGTAAAACATTTTTAAAAAACCTGTCACAGTTCTGATGGCTCTTGAAAGCATCGAGGACACGAAGACAGGCAGCTTTTTTCCTCCAGTTCTGTTGTTTCCAAGCATAAAGTCGAGCAGAAATAAGGTGGATTCGCAGGCATTTTCCTGACGTATGTCCAGTATGAGTTAGCGGCAAAGTTAAACTTAATTTAAATTCAACAAATGATTTGATGCTTCTCTCCTGAAAGGCAGTCGCACTCGCATCCTATCTGCTGCGCTCCACATCATCACGTAATCAATCCTGCCCATTTATCTGTGCCCCAAAGGATGCTTCAGACCGGTGCTGCAGAAACCTGCCAGAGGGAATCCAATGTAGCAATGTGACTTCCTCATGCTTTGTTGCCAACCTTTCTGCAGAATAATATTTTCATAGGAAACTGTTATTGTCCTCAGTCTTTTCCTCTTGTTTTATCAAGACAATATTTGTTGTCTTGGTTTATAGCAACAAATTTAAAATTATGTTTTTCAGTGCTTGGGGAGGGGGGAAATTATCTGAATTTTGGACATAAAATCACAGAAATTCAAAATGTAACAGCAAAACAGAACTCCAAATGCATAACATTTCCTTTTTTTTGTTTTTAAAGAAATAAGACTTGTTTTTAAAACAGATATGTAAGTTTTCTCTTTTGAAACTGATTGATTTTAATCTATCACTTGAAAAACACCAGAATCTGAAGCACACCATTGTCATTGCACTCCTACAATACATCAGTACAAATCCTTCATCTTAAAGCCAATAATTTCTTGCAGTGCTTTTAGCAAAAAAAAAAAAAATTACTTATAAATAAATCAATGCACAGTAAGTCTCTCTTGTTACATAAAATGAGCCAAAGCAATGCTTTTCAATGATAGAGCCTAACTTACCTGGTCTGATATTCCTCTGTTCGAAGAGAAGTGAGGACTGGTACCAATGGACCTTGACAGTGTGCTTTTCCTCAGTGAGGCAGCTGAAGCTGCTGCTGTTTTAAATGGAGAGAAAGAAGGTGGGAGGCATGCGGAGCACAGAGGGAGAGGAGATATATCTGAGATGTCTGTGGAAATGATGGGGAGCCAATTAGAAGGCAGAGAAACCAACAAAGATTGATGTCTGGGTTGGACTTGGTGATGACGTTTGATTAGTTAGTGGTCAGGTCAGAGAGGCAGTTCGGTGTGAAGCAGGATTATTTATCTGCTCACAGGAATGTGCAGGGAAGATTTATTGTGTCGTTTTAAAATTACATGCTAATGTAAGCAGGCACATTTTCTACAGCTCTGTATCAATGAGCTGCTTGTTCTTCAGCTTTAAAACAAAATTTGTTGATTCTTCAGTGGATATTTTGACTCTGGTCTGAAATCACATGACAGCTTGCTAAAACCTAGAAATAACCATAAACCCCAATAATTTGTTTTTAAATTACACAAAATAAAAAACATAAAACCTTAAAAATAAAATCTTGCAGATGTACAACTTTTAAAATGTAAATATCTTTCACAAAGTGCGAACCATAATGTTCTTTAAAGATGACATGTTTTTCACTTTATATAATTATATAATTATAGTTGTTTATTTGTTTTTCTAAAAATGAGTGGTTTTGTTTGTCAGTGTGTTAAATGTTTCTGGTTTTGCTGCGTAGCTGAAAACACATGAATCCAGGATCATCAGTTCGTACCGATTTCAACGCCCAATCATCTTCCATTATACTTGAAAACAGAACATTAAACTATCAGCTTATATTTCTGTTAGAAGTTAAATAGTTCAAAAATGCTCAAGCCTCACAATTTATTTTTAAAACATTATTAGTTTCTGAAGATCTTATATTACAGTTTTTCCAATGGTTTTTAATTTGACCGTCCTCAACCATAAGAGGAACCATTATTTTAAAATTAGCTGCAGTTAAATAGCCTCCCCTGAGAGCCTTTCATACATCCAATTTTTGAAAGAAAAAAACCTATTTCATGTCTGATTTGTGAATAAATTCAAAATTAAAAAGATTGGACAGAAACTGCCGAATGGTTGGTATAAAATGGAAAGTGGCAGATGGCGCTTTGGTGCAAAAACAACCAAGCTACGATCATTGGGTGCTTCGATCTTTTATCCATTTTTGCAGGGCTTGCCCATATTCTGTTCGCTCCTCTGAGTCGAGCATTGCAACGGTATTTAATTCTTTTATGTTCACTTTCTATATTTATTCTTTTAGCTTGTTTTTTTTTTGTGCATTTGGGTTTTGATTTCTTAGATCAAAATTGTTCTTTTCCCCTCATTTACTGAATCCACTGGGTCCTCCTGTTATCCCCGTTCATCTGCCTGTTCATGTCCCTTTACTCCACAACCTGTGATTCCTCCTGTAAGTTTTCCTTTTATTTCCATCATTAAATAAATTCTGTTCTGCAATAGTTTCTGCTCTTGAAACTCTGCAAAACAACAAACCAAAACTACAAGAATAAGAAACGAGAAAAAGTAAAATGACCAGATTCATGTGTGATGATCACATGTCTATCTGCAAAGGTACAAATTTAGTTGCGTTCAAGCTCAATAAAACATGCTGTGATGTACTGTACTGTACATCCGTTCCACTGCAAAAAACTTCCAAAAATCATTACATAACTTTGTTCTTTTTTCACTCATGTAATTGAAGGTGCATCGGACAGCTTTAATATCTACATAAAAAAACAAAAAGGTTTTGTAAATACCTCCCTTTAGAGGATTGTTGCCTGGTGAGAATAAATAATTCTACTATTGACAGAGTGTCCATCTGTAAAAGGTTTTAAATTGCACAATTATTCACTTCTGAGTGTTTTTGAGCTCCAAACGACAGTCACAGATATTAAAACCCCTTCGGTAAACAATTAGAAAATGACCTTTTTATCATAGGCTGAGGCTAAACAATCTAAATAATAATTCACATCACTTATTGCAATCTTTAATTTGTTCTAATTTTATGGGACACATTGAAGAACTTGCAGAAAATGTCAGATAAACTCATAAAACAATGGGTAAATATTCTGTGATTATGTGACTAATTTGGACAAGGAACCCAAACTCAATACACACAAAACACACACACACACACAAAACACTGTTGTTATTTCTAATTTTAAAAAATAACTGAACTTTGAGAAAATAAAAGGTACAGGACAATATGTTTTAGTAATTATGTTGTCTGCTGCTGGTATTGATATTTTCAAGTTTGTAAATGAAAAATCACTATTTTTATCCTCAGGGGTCCAAAAGAAAATCCTGTGACGTACTTTTAGTTAATCTGGTTTCTTATCATTTTCATCTGGAACCGGAGAAGCTGTGGCTGGAGAAATGATTAAATACTGCAGAAAATCTTGCACAAAAGCATCATGATTATGAGGTCATCATGTCAATGAAATGATGTAGCGACTGTTTCAGAGTGTGAAATAAAAATCAATTTGAATGCAATGGCCAAAGGATGACCTCTTTTTCAATTATTAAAAACATTTGACTACTTGATATCAATATGTAGACCTAAAGTTTAATCGATATTTCCTTTTATGGCCTCTGGAGGATGTAATACATATTTTGTTTTAGAAACCACTGACTAGTTGCTCTAAAATGAAGTTTTTATGTATACAAAGTATGACTGAAGTTATATTTAAATGCAAAATATAAGAAAGAATAGTTTTGTACCTGAGAACACATAACACAATAAACTGAAACCAGATAATGCAGATTCAAATTTTATCTTCGAAGTTGAGGTTGAAGGTTTGAGAAAGGTTGCGCGCAAGTTTGCAGCAGCCACTCTGGCTCCAGAAAAAAGAAACTAGTTTTTGACTCTTGTGGTTTTCCATAATAACCTTCAGTGATATGAAATATGATGGAGAATAATCTGCATGGTCAGCTGCTGAGGAAGCAGGCAGTTGACAGAGACGGGGCGTGCTTGTAGACAGCAGGATCTTTAGAGGTGACTTGCTTGAAACAGGTTCTCCTGCTAATTTTCTTCTCCTGGACACATTTGTGGACTGTTTACACCCACAAGTCCACATGCAATATATGGGGCATACCTGGAAGTAATAAACTGCTGTTTTGTTTCACTTTTACCACAGCTACACAGTCGTACTTCTGATTTGAGCTGAATATGCTAGCCTAGCATCTCTATTAGCTGATACCCAAATCACTCTTCTTATGCTGAGTGTTTGAGTTGTATTTTGGAGGAATGGTCTCACCTGTCTGAATCTGAGTGGTGTTTTCTTATTGGATTTCTTTGCTAGGCATTGGATGACTGTCTGAAAACAGGTTATGTGTTTATTGAGGTCAATAAAACAGTGAGAAAACGCCGTCCAATTCTATGTAATTTATTACCAATTGCAATTGGGAGAGACAAACACTACAACAGCTCCTTGTGTCTCTGAAACTCAATTCAGGAATGTTTTATCTGGAGTCTAGGTCCAGATAAGACCTGGACCTAGACTCCAGTCCAGGTCTTATCTCCCTACATGGTATAGTCAAAGAACATTGCCTCCCCCAAAGCTGCTACATGTCCTAACACACTTCACACAAAAACTTTAAATGTCTCCCTCAGTCTCAAGTAACACATCTCAGCTGAGAGCCGTTGTGCTGGCAGTGAGCTATGAGAAATGTGCGATGTGCTCACATTCCTGAGCTGCAGGTCGCCACATATGGAGATGAGTCCCAAAAAAAGAGCACTTTTACAAGGTTCCTCGTACTCGAGTGATGATAAACATAATGATTTCAAATATGAGAAGCTGTTTGTGTGCTTCCTCTATCACTATAAAGAAGTAACTCTAGTTTCAGGTGATAAAACTCTACTTACCAACCCAGAACAAGAATCAACAAGAATCAAACATGGAGAACCAACATTTAGCATTTATGCTTTTACCTTAAGTGTCTTTCTTTTGGTTTTGTTGTTTTGTTTGTATTTCCTTCTAATTCACTTAGAATTGCCTTGTTGCTGAAAATGTGCTACATAAATAAAATTTACCTTACTTTACCTTACATCTAACAGAGGCATCAGGCCTAGAAAACTTGAATGAATGGTGAGGAATAATTATGCCTAATTGGCAGAAGATCTCATTAAGCATACCATCTGAATGGGTTCAGATGTGACCTTTAGGGGTCGTTGTCTGAAGGTCATTGTTTTCTTTCCATTGTTGGACACCAGTTCTGATAGTTACATGTGACAGTGGCTGCGTGGTTCTGAGTTTCAGTCATTGTTTGTCTGTCTCTCTGCGAATCCACACTTGTGTCATCACTGATGATGAACAACATTTCATTGTTGGTCACAAAATAATCATGATAAAGAAAATGTTAGCCACTTTGTGAGTCAGACTCAATTAACATTTAAATCCAAAAAATGCCACATGCCTGTCACAGGGCTTGATGGATTAGAAGACAAATGAGGGGAGAATTGAAAACTACTTTTAGACTGAGACCCAATGCAAATGTAATAAACTACTGTAAGCAACCAGTTAATCTATTCAACTCATGTAGCTCCTATATTTAAAAATATATGTGAAACATTTTCCTCTGGTATAATGACTCATTGACTTGATATTAACATCCTGAAAATGATGTGTTGCTAATAACAGCAAAGTTTTGCACCCGATGCATCATATTTACATACAATTAACTTTTCATTTACCCGTTCATTGACCAGACATTGTGTTCTTCTAGGCAAAATGATCATTAATTGGAAATGTCTTCTCCCTGTTAGTGTAATCTTAAAAAAAGGGAAAGGAGGAGACCCAGCATATTAAATTAAACCAGTCACATGGAAAACAGCTCAGAAAAATGTCAACTTGTTGCATGTTTTGAGCTGACGTGGGTCTGCTACCCTTACGAACCTAAAATAATAAAGGTAATCTGTTACAATTGGTCAAAAATACACATTTGGACCATGATTTAAAGGCTGAGCGAGCGTATGTTTTCCACGCTCCTTCAACCTTCCTTCAGGGGAGAGGGGGGTGGGGAGGCTCCGATTTATGTTTTCGCACCCACCTGAATAATGTGTAGTTGCGCCACTGCTCATAGCTTTGGCCAAGGTAATGCAGCGCTAATGAATGGGCCACCAC